GTGGATGGAAGTACTGACTCCAATTCACCGAGGCTGTGGGGTTTGAGTGTCGAGGGCTCAGGCAACAGCAGCAGAGGCCAACCAGGCTGGAGGGAGTGTCCTCGGGGAGCTGACCCAAAGCAGGGGATGAGGCTGAATGTGTGAATGAAAATTTGATTGACGCATGCGCTTGAGAAATAAAGCGGTTTAGGGAAAATGGAGGGAATGCTTTTCGTCTCTTTCATCTGGCCAAGTCAAGGGGGCTCTGGAGCCCGTGAGTGCTTTCAAAGGAAGTTTGTGCCTAGAGACACCAGTGGGGTACTGAGGGATGTGAAAAGCAATTAAGGGATGGTCTGTGTCCTGGAGAGAGGCCATCTGAGGCTGAAGAACTGAGCGCTGCATTAATTGTCAGAAAGCCTTTGCCTTCCACGCCCCAGCAAAGACTTTGCAGAGCAACCCATGTGAATGTCCTTCCTGCTGATGGAGCCGTTGAATTCTGCCTCACTAACTAGGGCGGAAGGCCCAGGATGCTAGTAGGACATCAGGGACATGGGGGTGACCAGTTTATGCTCTGGCACTGGGGCACCATCTCTTGCAAGACAGTTGAGGGCCCTTATGTTAGAACAGTTGCACCAACGGGATGGGCTATTGCTACAGCTCAGATCAGGACCTTTGGAGAGCCAACATACAGCCCTACTATTGTATGAGCTGCATACAGCCCACAGACAGGATTACTGCCCCTGTTGTGTGTGTGGGGGGGGGGGGGGAGGTGGTCGTCACAGCCCTAAAGAGCTACAGAGAGCAGATACTCTATGGGAACCGAGTCTCCCCCCCAACCCCCCCCCCGCCCAGCATGGACATGCTCTGTGAATCACAGAAGCTTCCAGATCACTTGCCCGTCTCCATTGTGAGCACACGCGTCCCAGCCTGACCCCAGAGCACTCACGAGAATGGCACCAATTTCATCTATTGGCTCCAAGTTATCTCCGGAAGCCCAGCCGCACCACATTGTGCAGATAAATTTCAATCCATCTGCATTTTCCTATTTCCCGGGATCATAACACAGCTTAATTTGCTCCCTCACATCTTTTCTAGATGGTAAGAAATCTCTGCCTTTTTTTGGATGTTCATCCCCCCAGAACCATATTCCAAAGAAAAAGAGAGAAAAGCATAAAATCAAGGTCGGGAAGATTAAGCCCCTTAATTCACATGCCAACCTTCCCGTTTCAATTGTGGTTTTGTCTCCCAGCTAAAGTTTGTCTTTTTGTGACATTTGCATTAAGCCCAGAGGACATTTTGAGTGGAAACACGCTGAAAGCCTAATTGAAACTCTGAGTGGTGCCACTGGTCTCATTTGCATTCTCCCGCCAGTGGGGAGCATTCGCTTCCCCTTCCTGCTCCCGGGGTGTTCAAAGATTATCTCAAAGAATGATGTTGTGCAATTGATTCCAATAAATCCCCATGTACAGTATATTATGCGTAGATATTTTTTTTTCTTTCCAGAGGCTATTTTAAATGCCACAGCTATAAGCCACGGGAGGCCGCCCTTCCTAGGTTTAGAGTAGTACAGGTACTCCCTTCGCCCCGCAGAGAGAGGTTTGGAATATTTGTTCACAAGTGTGATTGTTTCTTAGAATGTTTCCTTTCAATGATCCTTCTCAAGTCCTTCTGAGCTATTTAGGAGGCTGTTTCTATAGAAACACCTTTTTTTTAATTGATAGGTATAAAATGTTCCGTTTCACCCCAATCTGGCCTTGGAATTCTGCCCCCAGAAACTCTGTAAATTGGATCCATCTCTGTTTAATAAAGTGAGTGGTCCTTGGCGTTGCAGCAGGGAAGTTAGCAGCTGGGACGGTGATGTAGCGAACACCCTCAGCTGTAACTTCAGCAGGAGACTTGAGGCGAGATTGTCATTGGAGAAAAGTTTTTTTTTTTCCTTCAGGAAGAAGAAATGAAGAGTGTGGTGACTATTTGTGATTTGATTAAATATTCATTGTATTTTCATAGCCATGATTTAGAAACCTTGTGCTAAACTTGCTCTCACTGGAGAAGTCTGGGTTTCTGTCTTCTCGAGGGGTGGCATCTTTCTCCGGCCAGTGCTATTTATTCGAGATGCAGCATTTCAAAAAACAGAAGTCCCCCTAGATCATAGCAGATAACTGTTGGGAATGAGATCTGAGTCCTTCTAAACTATAAGCCTGCGTAGGTAGAGCCAGGCATGAGTTTGGATAAATGAGGTTCTGAAGGGACACGAAGATCACCCAACCCAACATTTCCAAGCCTGAGCTACTCATCACAGCTTTTTGAGTGCATACAAGGACAAGTGTGTTTTTTTTAACACCTTTGTTTTAATTATGTTCCAACAGCTGTACAAATAAAATCGTGTGAGGCCATTTAAAGAAAACTGAAGTAAAGGGTGGGTCGGGCATTGGGAATCTGGAAGGTGGGAGAGGGTGGGATTCCCCAAGGACCATGGTCTTTTCTATCAGCCTCCATCTTCCTCTTGATTTCTCAGGAAGCAAAATCCCATCTTGGAGGGACAATGTAAAGATTCTTTGCCCTTATGAATGTCGAATTTTCCAGGCAGCATCTCTCCTACAGGGAAAGAGTTAGCTGAGATTGTAGGAAGTGCTTCTTATGAACAGGCCCTTTGAGCACTGTTGGACCGCCGTTCCTGGAGTCCATCAAACAGGGTGTTATCATATTGTGATATGATATTCACTCCTTTGGTGCGTCTCCCTTCGCGGCCTCACAGGCGACAGGAAGGCTTTGCCAGGAGAAGTGGGAGGACTCAGAGAGGGACCAGGCTGGCTCCCAAACATCCCCCTCCTTTAGCCTTGGTAGAGATGCCGCTGGTAACCGTCTCCATGGCAACAGCAGGCCGCAGGCATGCGGTACCTGACTAGAAAGAGGTGGTGGGGCTCAGGAGGCAGGTAAAACCCTGCCAGGAGAGGGAATCTGTTCGGGTGAAGGAAACAGCTGCTTCCTTCGTGCCCAGGCTCAGGAGAGATGGGGGAAGGCTGAGGCAGGGTCCCATGAAGAACACGGGGGCTGTCAGCGTGCTGGGAACTCACATTCCTGGTAAAACTGCGGGATTGGGATGGAGAGAGGAGAGAGAGCAACAGGCAGGGTGCGAGCACCATCTGGGATCCCCCCGCTCGAGAAGAGCAAGCCCAGAGCAATAGCCGCCAAAACAAAAAGAACTCTGTTTCCGAGGATGCGGAGCGATAGCACAGCGGTAAGGCGTTTGCCTTGCACACAGCCAACATGGCCGACACGAGTTCGATTCCTCTGCCCCTCTCGGAGAGCACGGCAAGCTACCGAGAGTATCTCGCCCGCACGGCAGAGCCTGGCAAGCTCCCCGTGACGTATTCGATATGCCAGACACAGTAACAGCAAAGTCTCCAATGGAGACGTTACTGGGCCCACTCGAGCAAATGGATGATCAACGGGAGGGCCTTTACTTTTACTTTACACTTTTCCAGTGAAGACAAAGAGGCTTTAAAGGGGTTGGGCAGGTCCTCCCCAGATGACTCGCTCCCACATAGAGCCAGGCTGGCAGAGGGAGATTGAAGAAGCTTCCATGGAACCTACCGTGGGCACTGGGGCAGCAGGCCAGCAAGGCCCCGGCCTCCTCTTCTCCGCGCCAGGCCTGGACACGGAGCTAGTGGACGTGTCGCTGTTGGTCCTGGGTCCAGCAGCTTCCTCTGGACTCCAGCCCAGTCCACTTACAGCAGAATCTCAGGCTGGAGAGTGCAGGTCTGGTGTTGAAACGTTTCTCTGCAGGGCTCATGCAGCCTTGAGGAAGGGCCACTGTCTGCAGGCTGCTCCGGAATTGATCACAGGTGTCAGAAATAAACGAAGATGTAAGGGGCAGGCCTGCACCTTCCACGCAACAAAGTGGAAAGGGCGCCAGAAAGCAATGCCTTGTGTTTAGGGAGCAGACACGGGGCGCATCTGGAAATCCATCAGTCTGTGAGCTGCTGGTTCACACATCCCCGGGAAGCGCCAGTGTGAGGGTTAGTGGGCGGGTGAGCGCGCACGCAGGAAGCACCAAGGCAGGGGCAGGGCTGGGAAACTAGGAGCCAGGGACGCAGTGGTGAGGCAGAGAGCTGGGCTGGGGTGTGTCCCACCAAACCGGGGGCCCAAGGTGGAGCCCAAGCATGGCTCCCAAAGGCAGGGTCCCCGGTCCTGTGGGCTCCTTTTCGGGTGGCCACTGCCGCTGTGAGAAACACCCAACCAAGACTCAGCCTCAGCTGGGCACTGCAGTCACGGCCACCCCCAATGGTCCACCTCGGGCTCTCTGAATGGAGAATTTGCCAGGAATTTCTTGCTGCTCTCATTTATCCATTTCCTTATTTTGCAGAAGTGGTTGTTGGGCCACCCCTGGTGGTCCCCAGGGTCTACTCCATTCCCTGTCCTCGGGGTTCACTCTCAGGCTTAGGGAACCAAATGCGATGCCAAGAATCAAGCCAGGGTTGGCGGCACGCAAGGCGAATGCTTCACCCACCCCTGGGCTCTCCTCGCTCTTTCCTAAGCACCAGTGGGAGCCCAGAACAAGGAACCACAAGCTTCTAGGATAGGGGTCCAGTGTGTTCAGATGCGCCAGGAAGTTCTGCTCTGCACAGGAACTCAACCCACACGTGACCTCAGCCTTCTCGGGGGGGGATGCACACCCTGGCACACATAGGTTAGGTCACAGCCCTGCATGCCACCCTGCGTGTCCGGCCTGTCACTCCAGCTGCCACTCAGCCTGGCCCCGCTTGTCTCCGTGTGCACCTTGCTGGACACGGAAGGTGAGCAGGGATTTGACTGAGGATCGGGGCAGAGCCAAAATCATGGAGCCCTCTAGCAGTGCCTCAGGACATGGTGTGGTCAGCCACGGGTTCTCTGGTAGTGCCGCTGGCCAAGGCGTGGTAATTCGTGGACCTGCAGAGGGGAGCAGGAAGCCACATAAAGTGGCGAGTCAAATCCGCTGGATCTGGTCACATCTTCTGTTCCTTTCTGTTCTCTTTGTCCAGTGACCTTCAGTGACTGCAAGGGCAACAACGGGCTCCACTATGAGGTCTCCAGCCCGTACTTCAGGGTGAACAGTGAGGGCGGCTTGGTGGCCCTGAAGAATGTGACTGCCGTGGGCAAGACTCTGTTCGTCCATGCCCGGACGCCCCACGCAGAGGACATGGCAGAGCTCGTGATTGTCGGCGGGAGAGAGATCCAGGGCTCCTCGCAGGTACTGTGCTGACTGGGGCCAGAGGGTCTGAGCAGGAGCGCCGCTGTGTGTGTGTGTGTGTGTGTGAGTGTGTGAGTGTGTGTGTGAGTGTGTGTATGTGAGTATATAAGTGTGTGTATGAGTGTGAATGTGAGTGTGTGTGAGTGTATGTGAGTGTGTGGGTGTGTCTGTGTGTCTGTGTGATTGTGACTGTGAGTGTGTCAGGGCGTGTGTGCGTCTGAGTGTGTGAGTGTGTCTGTGTGAATGCGAGTGTGTGTGAGGGCGTGTGTATGTGAGTGTGTCTGAGTGTATGAGTGTCTGTGTGAGTGTGTGTGAGTGTGAATGTGTGTCAGTGTATTCGTGAGTGTGTGTGAGTGTATGTGTGAGTGTATGCGTGAATGTGAGTGTGTGAGTGTGTGTGAGAGTGTGTCTGAAGTGGGCAAGCAATGTTGGTTGGTTGTTGGTCATGGTTCTGTTGTTGCAAATCACAACCCACTCTGAAAAATGCTGGGGGTGAAGAAGCTGAGAAATGATCCTCCGGGGACAGGTGATTCAGAGAGAGCCGACTCCATGCCAGCACACATGTGGCAGCACAGAGTCCTTCTCCTGCTGTGATTCCAGCTCCGGGCTCGGCCCCGGCCCTCCCTCCCTCTGTTGTGGGAGATGCATGACCTGGTGGAAACCCACAGTAGCCGGAGTGTGCGGCAACAAGCGTTCCTGGGGGCGCGCAGGGGCCACAACGGCCCTTGTGGGGGTGCCGGGGCGAGAGTGCGTGGACAGACAGAGCTTGCCTTGGCTGCTGGCTTATCTGTAGTCTGGAACAGATGTGACTGGGATTCTGGGCACGTCTCAGGCCACACTGGCCCGTGGCGGGCAGAAGAGATGCGGCGTTTGCAGGACAAATGGGGAGTGGGGGTGGGAGGTATGCACGGGGACCCGGCTCTGGGGGACCCAGAGAGACGACGCCCCTTCCCTTCCCGGACTTCTCTTCTCATTTGCCGCCATTGTTTGCTTCTCACAAAGCTCAGACCCCTGCAGGATGGGCCGCACAGTGCCCAGCCCAGCCATTTTGTGAGTTTTGGGAATCGGTCTTGTGGAGCTTCCCAGGTGTGTGCACGATGAAAAAGCCCCAGCCAGCCCCAGACAAGGGGGAGAGAGAGAGATGGGAAGGACAACAAAGGAGCTAGGGACCAGCCCCAGGGACGCTGGCCTCACAGAGGGGGGACCGAGGCACAGAGGCTGGAGAACATCTCGGGGGACACTTAGATGTGTGCTCCTGGTGGGCTGAAACCTGTGTTTCCTGTAACACCCCTAGAATGGCAGGTATCCCTTCTTTGCAGAGGAGTGAACCATGGCCAGACACAACCCTTGGCTTGAAACTTGTGGGCGGGGGGGAATCACCCACCCTCCACCTGCCACAGGCTTCCTGGGAGCTTGTCCCCTGCCTCAAGCCCCTGTGACGGAAGCCACTGGCCACGGTTCAGAGGTGAGTGTGTGAGACAGGTGTGGTGGACAGAGGGAAGGGTCAGAAGAGTGGAGGAGTGGCCGAGAAAAGACCGTGTCCACGGAGCCCAGAGCCTGGGAGGGTGGAGGCGGCTGGTCAGGAAAGGGGTGGACAGTCAGTCGGGATTGGCTGTGCTACGTGGCGGGCTCCTAGGAGCATTCTGGGACCACAAGAACTTGGGTGTCCACTCAGGGCAGGCACTGGCAGGAGAGGGGGCGACCAAAAGTGAGCCGGGCATTGGCGTCACACTTAGTTCCCCAGGCTATGGCTGTGGGACCAGGCACTCGTCACATTCACTCCTCACCCCGGGAACAGCAGGGAGGAGAGCCATGGCCAGCCTCGGCCACTTCTGTCCCTTGTAGAGGCTTAGGTGTGCTAGTGTTCAAGCCTCTGGTATGACATACACTTTCCAGCACTCCAAAAACCCTCCAAAGTGCCGACAACCCCCCACCAATGTCCCTCTCCCTCAGTTGCTGCCGTTCTATATGAGCTGCCTGGAGCCCGGGTACATGGAGTATTTTGTGTTCTGGCGGGCAGGGACTGCTGGGATGAAGGCCGGGGTCACCACGTATGCCCCATGGACACGCGATGGGGACCGCGGAACACAGCTCGTGGACGTGTGCCTGGGTGGAATTGGGATTGCCATGTCCACCCTCTCTCCTCACCCTCTACTGCTGGGCAGCGATGAGCCGTGGGACTGCTGATCTCTTGTTTTTGTCTGTGTGTTTGTTGGTGTATGCGTGTGCATGTGTGTGTATGCGTGCGTGTGTGTGCATGTATGTGCGTGTGTGTGCATGTGTTTGCGTGTGTGTGCATGTGTGTGCGTGTAGGTGTGTGTGTGTGTGTGTGTGTGTGTGTGTGTGTCTGTGTGTCTGTATGTTTACCTCGCTGTAGGACTTCAGATATTTCTGAAGGAATGATCTCTGAAGCTCATTCTTCCTACATCCTGCAGACTCGTCCTTACCTGCTGTGTAAACAGGGCTCGTCAGCCTGGCTTTCATGCTGGGCCAAAAGCAAAGCCCCTTTTGTGTCTGTTTATTCCCTTCTTCTGAGTGAACGCGTGCAACTCCCGACTGTAATTATCATAGGGATTCTGACTTCCCTGGAAGAATCAGGGGAAGGAATGTCCCTTGAATGTGGCCACTTTGGGAATGTCCCTTGAATGTGCCTCCTAACTCCTCCCGAGACTGGGGAGTCTTGGCTCTGGGTATAAAGGGGGACGTTAGTGTCCAGGGTCCCCAGCTGCCTGCGAACCTGCCCTCCCTCCTGGCCCTCTGAGGTCTTCTCTGCAGTCCACACCGAAGTTTGGAAAGGTCTCTGTGCTCTAGCCGGGCTGTCCTGCGGCCCTCCCAAGCCTGAACCTCTTTGATGCCTAAGTGTTTTGAGCTGCTACAGGGCAGTCACCTCCCCTGGTCCCTGTCCCCTACCCGAGGATGGTCACCCCCACCAGAGTCCGCTCTATCCGCCTCCGTCCACCTCGTGCCCCGGCTCCTATGTGTGCTTCCAGCCTCTTTTGGACATTCCAAGCTCGACTTCCTGCCAGGGCCTGGGATCTCCTGGTCCTTCTCCTCGCCCCCCATCCCGCCCTCCTCTCCCCTCCCTGCCTCCTGCCTTCTCTCTGCAGCCAGTGCTCACTTGGGATGTCTGGCTGTTTGGTGACGGCGAGCAGGATGCAGGGGGGTCTCTCTCTGTACTCTCTCCACATCCAGGGAGCTCCCCACTCACACACCCCAGACCAGCCATGAGTTCCCGAATCTGCTTCTCTCTCTGTCCGCTTCAGCATGCTTCTGTCCTGGTCACTCTCCCCACTGCCCCAGGAACCCACCCAGACTGACCAATAGCTTCAGTTCTTCGGGACCCACTAACACTTCCATCTACCAGGACACTTCCCAACAGTCCTGTCCCCGTGGGCCAGTTGGGCGCTTTTCCTCCACAGTGACCACAGACCCTGCCTGACTCGCCCCACTTGGCACTCCATCACTATTTGTCCCTGTCCTCCCGAGCTCGGGATACCCCTGCAGGGACCCCAAGAACGCCATCCTTTTGGGAATTTGGAGCTCAGGCCTCTGTTTCAGGGCTCTGGGTCACAGCCTCAACCTCAGAGAGGTTGTGTGCAGGTTTCAGTATCCTCAGAGCCTCTCGAAAGGTGCCCAGGACAGAAAGGAGTCAGCAGGGAGAGTGTTCACTTTGCAAGCAACTGACCCGATTCAATCCCTGGGACACCACATGGACCTCTAACCCACCAGGAGTGATCCCTGAACACAGAGACAGGAGTGAACCTTGAGCCCCGCTGGGTGTGGCTGTCCAAGCCCAGTGCAGAGTCCATCCAAGACTGCCAGAGCCCATCTAGAAGTGAGACTCAGTCCATGGAGCAGACAGATGTGACCTTCCAGTCCTCTGTGCCTGCCAGTATCAGGGGCACCATGAGTCATCGCAACCACGCTCCTTAGCTCCACTCCATATGAAGCACTAAAGCCCCCCGAGTTTCTTATTTCCGGATGGGCCCACTGAAAACACTCTAGACGGCCTGGTAGGATTTGAAAGTGAGTTACACACCATTTACACATCCTAACTGGAAGTCAATGCTCTGGCCTCTTAATCAACTCATTTCAATGCAAAAAAAAATTATATTTTCCTTTTATTCCTGGTGATGAAAAAATATCCCAAGGAAAAAATAGAGAAAGTTATGACAAGAACTGGAAAAGCAAAATGTAAGGCTTGTTTATCTTGGTTGATCATCATCACAGCAAACACACAATTTTAAAGACATTATTTTGGCTCCTAATTCTCTTTCAAGAATGAGGCTGGAAATAGTTCCCAAACATGAAAGTAAGAGAGCAATCAGAGTGAGAAGCAGGTTGTGAGAAATGGTTGTTTTTCCCTTCGGTGTTTAAAATAAAAGTACAAGGCCTGTCACCAATGGGCCCGAAGCTATGGGTCCAATAGACGAGACAGCTGCTGTGGTCACTGGCCCGGGGGTGGCACTTTCAGGGTCTGGGGGCCCAGTTATCGGGTGCTCTGAGGGAAGGATGAGTGCCCTCCAGCACGTGTCCATGAACTTAAAGAATCGGGGCTGAGTTCCTATGGGTGTTTTCAAGGCAGACCTAGCTGCATCCAACACCAACACCAACACCAACTCTAATCACATGTTTAGGACTCACTAACCTCACAGCACTGAAAGCCCCGAACCCCGCCCCCCGGTCAGACTCCTCTTCAGTCCAGCGACCAGCCCAGTCTCATTTCTATGCTGCAGTGTCCTGGACAGCCGTCCTGCCTAACTGGTGCTGAGAGCTGATTGTTGACTCTTGGCCCACACACCCACGAGCTGCTGACACCTTCCCGCTTATTGAGGCTCTTTCCCCATTGTATCTGTTCCAAACAAAATTCGCACATTCGTTCCTGAGTCCTGAGAAACCCATTTCAGCCCCGTCACCCCAAGGCTCCTGCCTGTCTGCACACATGAGACTTGGCCCCGTTCCTTTATTTTTATTTTATTTTATTTTATTTTGCTTTTTGG